GCAGTGAAGAGAGACTAGGTGCGTAGGCTGGTTTGGCGACTGGTTTGCCGTGTCTCCGTGTGTGTGTATAGATGATGACGGTCTGTGTCCCCGTACAGACGGTGACGAGGTGGCCGTGTCTCCGTGTATGTGTATAGATGGTGACTGTATCTCCATCTCCGTACAGACGATGACGATGTGGCCGTCTCTCTCTGTGTGTATAGATGGTGACTGTATCTCCTTCTCTCTCCACACAGACGGTGACGAGGTGGCCGCCCACCAGCTGGTGCTGTCCGTGCTGCGGGCCTGCGCCGACTGCCGCTGGCTCGACGGCGCCGCTCTCTCTGAGCTGGCCGACCCGGACCCGCAGCGGGCCAGTGGCGCGGCCCACCGGCTGGCCGCCGCCGCCACCGGCCGGCTCGCCGCGTTCTCAGACAGCGTGGAGCGGCTGCGGGCGACCCGGGCTGACGACAGGTGTGATGGAGAGCCGGGGGCTGTTGGTCCTAACTCCTAACGGTCATATTGGTCAAACGGATATTGCGGATAACGGTCAAGTTGGTGTGAATTAGAAAAGCGGGGTTGAAATACGACATGAAATGATGACCTTAGAACTCGGAATATATTGGAATCCGGGTGGTAATTAGGACTGGGAGTTGGCCATAATTCAGACCTTTTCTAGTAGTCCACTGAAGTGTCTCAGCTGCAGATCACGGAGCTTCCCTTTTGGACGATCTAAAAGCTGCTGTGTTGGGCTCGGCTGACTCGATTAGCATAATGCTGATGGGAGCCGTGAGTGAGCCTTCCATGACATTATGACACCTCTCACTGTCCTGACATATTTGCTGTCTGTTTGTGCTTTGCCAGGCAGGTGTGCACGCTGGGCTCTGGCCGGCGTCGGACGGCGGCCCGCCAGGCTCTCCAGCAGGAGGAGACGGCCGCCGTGGCTGCGCTGACCGCCCTCAGACGGCTGGCCGAGTGGTCGGCGCCGCTGGCAGCGCGGCTGGCCGCTGACCGGCCGCTGACCGAGCTGCTGCCGCGACTGCTGCGGCCCGCCATCGCCCAGGTGAGTTCCCTCAGTCTGCTGCGTCCCGCCATCGCCCAGGTCAGTACCCACCATTCCTTGGTTCAGTACCCGTCATCGCCCAGGTCAGTACCCGTCAGGCGTCATATTCGCCCAACTTAGTACCAGTCATTGCCTAGATCAGTAGTACTCGGCTTCGTAATCGCCTAGTTCAGTTATCTTATCAAGCATATGCGAATGGTTTCACGGATGGTTTCTGTTAGTTTTTATGATTAAACAATGCATTGTAAGCCATTCATCTTTGGTATCGTGAAAGAACCACTAAAAACTAGTTTTTTATGTGTATTGTGCATTCTGGTTAAAGTAGCTGTTTTCGTTGCATTGTCGACTGATAAATGTCGCGATGTTTTCCAGGGTGAAGTGACGAATGCCCACATTATGGAGCACACCGCCGTCCTGCTGGCGACGATGGCCGGCGACACCCTCCCGGACGAACTGTACGTATTCCAATGGAAGGACTGACGCTGTGAACCAAGTCTCGCCATTCACTGATTTCAAACGCCGCATAACTAGGTATGGCATCTATTTGAATGGTTTCCGTCTTCATAACTTTTTTTTCGAACGGTCTAGTGTGCATTCCGGCGTAGGCGTTTATTGCTTGTTTCCGTATTTCATTTTATTGCTGGTACCTACTTTTACTTGCGTTGTTGTTTGCAGCCGTATACGTTGAATTTTTCATATGCACTATCTTATTCCAATGACCAGGCTCTGACCTCATGCACTGAATAATCGCCCTCTCTGTCCCCGCAGATTCCAGGCTCTCTGTCCCGTCGTGCACGAGGTGTTTAACACCAAGCCGCCGTCCCGGCTGTTATTGGCTCTGCTGGAGCTGCTGATCAGTGCGGCCGGCACAGGGCAGATAGCGGGCCTCTGGTGCCGCGCCGCCCCGCCCCCGGCCGAGCCCCCCGCCCGGAAACACACAGGTAACAACGGCGTGGGAACGCGCGGTGACGTAGGAGCGTAAACGGTGGCGTAGGTGTTAACATTTTTTGGAACCACTTCGAAACATTTCTAGTGTGATAATTTAAAATCTCAGCAGCTGCGCAGTACCAGTTTCACGGTGAACTTTATTTTTGCGTCGACAAGCTCGGCACTGAGCACACCACCATGTGGGCAAGTCAGCAGACCGGTGGGTAATGCGTGGCATCGCAGCGAAATGTATTGCGATTTGCGATGTCCCGGCGCGGCCCTCCCTGTAACCTACCTAACCTCTGCGCGCAGGCACGTGTCTGATGAAGAAGCTGAACATCCTCTGCTGCGAGCGGGGCGCGCCGTCCGATCCTCCGTCCCCGTCCAGCTACCGACTGCCTGCGAGTCACAGTCGCCACGGGCCGCAGAGGCAGCCGCTGACCACCGGACGGGCTGACCTGAGCTCGCAGCAGGGTAAACGGTGGAAGGTCAGTCGTGGGACCCGGACGGGAAAGTGGGTACGGTACCAGTAGCGGCGGAACACCTTCAATTAAGGGGGCACCACCGACTTTTGGTCCCATTCTTTCCATGCAACGCCCATAGGGTTAATGTTAAAATGCCAAAATCAAAGGGGGCACAGTGCCCCGGACGGTGCCCTCCCCGTTCCGCCGCCTATGTACGGTACGGTCACGCGCGGTCACATTGTAATGGTTTGAGGATAGAATGTTTTGTGGAAAATATACAGGAAGTTAGGTGGTAATCGCTGAATCACAAGCATTACCTATTGGCACTGAATACCTGACAAGCGTCGGGTATAACTAATTAGTCCAATGACAGATATTACCTAGCTACAGTCGACGCGTTTAATTAGGGACGTGCATTTTTACCATGCTTCTGTGTAATGCCTGATCGCACGGTGTAACAGTAAACTAGCCAGCGGGGGTCACCTCACCGTTCCTCTCCAGCCCTCGCTGCCCATGACGCTATCGACAGTAGCTAACACAGCCGTGTGTTTATGTCTGTGTCCGCAGCTGTCGGCGGCCGGCGGCGCCTGCGACGCCCGCTGGCTGCGGCTGGTCGGCCTGCTGGTGTGGCGGCCGGCCGCACTGCCCCCGCAGGCGTGCTGCCGCGCCCACCTCACCCTATTAGTGGTGCAGCTGCTGCACGCAGCCGTACGGCACTGGCAGCACGGTTAGTGACAGAGGAGGGGCACGGTCGGTGACGGGGGGGAACACGGTCAGTAGCAGGGGGAGTGTCTCTTCGGTAACATTCGATAACACGTTCACTTCGCGGTGGCCGCATTGCACCGTTTGAAGTCATTTTCTCGATATTTCCTCAAGTCATAATGATAAAAAGAAAGCGACGAGATCCGTCCCAGTTATGGTAGATCCCAATGTCCATTCCTGTGTGGAGTGAGCAGTATCATTTCTGAGCCGAATCCCAAACTAGATCCCAATGTCCATTCCTGTGTGGAGTGAGCAGTATCATTTCTGAGCCGAATCCCAAACTGTCTGTGTTGTGGTGATCAGTGACCTGACCCACGCCGTCACCCGCGCCCAGGCGGCGCAGGTGTGCCGTATGGTAGCATGTGACCAATGATCTTATCCGTGTTACGGTACTCGCCCAGGCGGCGCCGATGAGCCGTCAGCCGTGTTGCTCCTGCTCTCCGCCCTCCACCGGCTGGCCGACCTGGACGCCGAGTTCTCCGTGTCCGTCTCCCGCGAGCGGCTCCGCTACCTGGTTACCATGGAAACGCTGGGCCGCTGCTGGAGGGAGATGCGACTCACCGCCCAGCACGGTAAGAAAGCTGGGAGGGTGGGTGTAACGGGAATTAAGGTGGTGGGTCTGAGAAAGGGGAGATGGATGTTGAACTGAAGGACATAGAGGGTCTTAGGATGGGGCGGCAGGCGAGTACGGCAAAACTAACCCTGTCACGCCGTGGCGCTTCGATAGAATCAGGGATTTTATTACAGGGTTAATATACCGCCAGTGTTTGTTTCGTTTTGTTATTCATACGCATTTGTTTATTTGGCTGTTGTGTTCGGGTTTTCCTGTCAATGCAGTGGACTGGGTACCTATATTTGGCTTGTCGGGACTCGGTATGCACTGTAGTCATGTATTTTGTCTCGTCGTTGTTATGTTTCACCGGTTCTCCTGACACCGTTACGTTATTGTGTCGCCAGTGGGGGTGCTCCAGGAGCTGTACAAGTTCCAGCCGGGCACGTTCGAGGGAGCGGGCCTCCTGGAGCTATCACGGTCCGACTAGTCAGCCGACATCCGGCCCTCGTCTCCACTGGCGGCGGTGAGGTGCGACATTATGGTGTCGCCAGTGTTCGTTGTTGTAAGTCGGTCATCATCATCATCCAATGGACGATGTAATTCATCTCATTTTGTTATAATATCGCACAGGGTATTGTGCGCAAATAAATATCATGGATACGTGAGCATGCGACTTAGTGTTGATCAATGCGACGTCGTACACAACTATTTCCATCCGTGATTTAAAAACGTTTGAAGTTAGTTCAACTGAGGCCTTCACTCGCTCGAGAGTCGAGAGCATTCGTTCAACACTTGCGAGGACCCGGATTATAGCTTCAGTAGCCCACCGCTATTTGTATCAAACGATCTGCATGATAATTGCGTGACCCTGCCAATCTGCTACCGGGTTCGTTGCACTCGTCCAGGCCTTTCATATTCCGTCGATATGTAACATGTTGACACGGTTAACCTGACCCGACATTCAACTGTTAAATCAGTCCCCAAATTTACGCGATAAGGAGCTTTCGTCATTCCAACTCTTAAATTTGCTTGAGAATCTGAGGAACAGCAGAGAATCTCCTTTCATCCGTCGCTCATTTCAGTGCACGGCATTCAACTGACTGGCCCTTTCCAGGAGAATGCACGCGTGATCTAACAGTTTCGGTGCTTATTCTCATTCACTACAGCCTACCCCGCCGTCCGTCCCGTCGCATAGTTACATTCCATCACGTCCACTTTCTTATCTCGTCCGTTTTCCTCTCAGACGCGTTCGTTGTGCACATTCTCATGTATTGGTCAGCCCGGACTCGCCCCAGGGCCCGAACATTTACAGCCAAAACCGACAGTCAGGTCACTTCACAAGGAACGCTGTCGTAAATATGTACGGCAGGGAATATTTCCTTTACACCCAGCTCGGTTATAATATTTTCAAAGTAACGTCGCATCATATGAACAAGGATAAATAAATCAATTCTATATCTACAACACCAACTGGGGGAACAGCAGAAGCTGGTCGTCCAGCTGAGCGTCGAGGGGCTCGTCGTCGAAGATGGACCAGGGTGTCGGGGAGTGTTGGTCCTCCATCTTGCAGAGGTCGTCCATGTGGGGTTTCACGTCCAGTTCGAGCGACTCGGTGGGCGAGGGGACGCGCGGCGAGCCGGGCACGGCGCCGTCCGAGCTGCTCGCCGGAGAGTCGGGCGAGTCGGGCGAGTCGGACTCCTCGAGCAGTGCGAGCAGCGCCTGCGCCGGGTCCTCGGTCACCGTATCATGGCTGGGCTCCAGCTCTTCTGCTGCGGTCCCCACCAGAGCAGCGCCGGCGGCGGACGCGTCCCCTCGCGCCGGCTCTTCGCCGCCGAATATCGAGCGACTGATGAGCTCGAGCAGATCAGCGTGTTGGTCACTGTCGCTGCCAGTGCCACCTGGAAGCCTGCCCAGCTGAGCAGGCTGAGAGCCAGCAGCGCCGCCACCGCCCTCCCCGACTCCTGTCCCTTCTGCTGAGGGCCACTAATGAGTGCTGCAGACTCAACGGAGGCGGGGGTGGGGGCGGCCGCGCCGGCCGGTTCCAGCCGCTGCAGTAGCAGCGCGTTCTGCTGGCTCAGCAGCTCGTTCTGCTTCTGCAGGAAGGCGTTTTGTTGGAGTAGCTTGTCGTTCTGCCGGGAGGAGAGCGGGCGAGTTAGAACGGGAATCGGCAGAGGGGACGGCAAACAGCCACTGCGTCCCGGCCCGCATGTAAAGCGATAGCCCTTACAATCAGGCACCAGTATGTAAATCACGTAGCAAGTCCGCAATTCCTGCTGACGAGCGACTTGTCAGTGCTGACCTAAGCAATGATTAGGTCGTGCGGATCGATACAACACGACACGAGATAACGAGATAAAGAGTTCGCGACTTTCTGCACGACGGACACTGAAACGCGCTCCCCAAACAATCACGTTAAAAATTGCCGTCGAGCAAAGCAACGGGAATGGGTGAAAAACTCTCCCTTACCAATGCCAGTTAATCCCCGCGGCATGGTGTACTGATTTACCTACCGCGCCAGCCGACCCTCCCCTCCCCTCCCCCCCGCGTGCGGTACCGGAGAGGGCGCCCGGTGCTCACCTGACGCTCCAGACTGGTGACTCTGCTCTCCAGCAGGTCCATCTGCAGCTTCTTACGGTCCCGGGCCGTCTGAGCTGCTACTCGGTTCTTCAGTTTTCTGTAGAGAGAAACCGTAGTCATTAATATTGCACACCATATGGTCCACCAACGACCATATGGTGTGCAAGGGTGGTTACATAACGCAGGCGACACGCTATCGGTGGATTAAAGCTCCTGCATAATCTTTGTGACGTCACTGTTCGGTGTTTGCAGAATCTGCAGCTGACTGCAACAGGCATAAGGTTCAAATCCAGGGAAAACATGCAGCTATATGGTTGCCGGAAATTACTGATAATTTGAATTGACGTTACTGCAGCGCTGGGCGTTAACCCGCCCGCGTACTCACCTCCTCTGGTTTTTCTGGTCGGCGGTGAGGTGGTCGAGCCTCTGCCGTTTCTTCGGCGGGCTCGGCATGATCCCCGACAGCGCCGGGGTGGTGGTGGTGGTGGTGACGGCATTCTCCGCCGGTCTGCTGGTGTACACCCGCTTCAGCACGGTCCGCACAACGGCCGGCGACACGGTGGTGGTCGGCGTGGCCTGCAGCACCCGGGTCTGCGGGCCGCGGCCGGCCGACGACGGCGGCGAGCCCACCGTCACCACCCGGACCGTGCGCGGCGCGCCGGCCAGCGCCGACGCCTTCGAGACACCGTGGTTGGCCGGCGTGATGATGATCTTTGTTGTCATGACGCTAGCTGCCCGCGCTGCGCAGGCTCACAGTGGACTGACCCCTCTGCCGCCTCTCGACTGTCCGCTCTCTACTCCTCTGCACCATGCCGCGGCGGCCGACCTGCGCTCCCGGAGCCTGCGGTCACACTGCGGCCGAGCGGCGGCTGGCGCAACACCGGCGTGTCGCTCTCCGATTGGTCGGCCGGCCGCTGACGTCAACGCCGCCAGCGCCGGCCGCCGTGGAGCCCGCCGATTGGTCGCCGCCGGCGTCGTCAGCAAAGTCCCGGATGTATGGTGCGTCATCGAGCGTCAGCCGTCATCGTCGGAGCGCCGCAGGTCTCCAAAACAAAACATCACCACTGCTACTGGGCGGGGCCCAAACATTGGCAAATGGCACGGGTCCGTGCGAAAATTGTTCCACTTCCAGTATGTCCTCAAACCAGCGTTCCCGACAAAGCACAATCGCCTGTTTCCCGCATATACTGCGACCAATGACCTGCTGTTTGTTTACATTTGATGACCCCGTCTCCCTTCCCACGTGTTCGGCTCTCAGGCTTCCGACGGGGATACCCCGCGACCTTTTATCAGTGCGCGCGTTCAGGCTAGGCCACATTCGAATCGTTCGGAACGGCAGAAGGTTTCTGGGATAGATATGTCGAACGCTCGCTCCAATGAGCCTGTTCTCGAAATTTCCCGAGCCGGGTTTACCGGGCCGAGCGCCCGGTGTACATACCAGCGATTGATAAACGTCCGGCGCGGGGCTGTCCGACCTAAACACTCAACTGTGACCACATTTACATTAATGTTATCAAAACATAGGACATCAGCTGCTCGTGCTGGCACTGATGAGTGATGACTACATCCAACTAAATCAATACCCTGGCCATTTGGCCTTGGCATGATCGATTAACTCCCAGCGTAGCTAACACATTTGCCGTACCAGCAAAGTTTTGACAGGCCGGCCCAACACCGCATATCTTCAGGAATCCCCTCCCACTGCGTATGCTCCCTGTTTTCCGGGCCGGTTGGCCGCCGACCACAATACAAACATATGGGGCACTGGCCAGGGTTTCTCCCAAGAGATAACAGTTCAGTGTGACAATAAGGATGACCAGAGGGTGGCCTTAATGCCGCGTTAACGCCATGCCACAGTCCCCTAGCCAGTGCTCTCTCAGTTCACTTCGCAGTCGTATGCTGTGGTCCAGTCTAATTCATACATGTTATATGTATGTAAAAGATGACATAGCTATGTCAGCGCGCCTTGAAACAAAATTAAATTTTCGATGGGTAAATCTTTATGGCTCACCCTGCATACCAACAGAGCTCATACACAGAATTTATACCTGCCGCGGCGTTTTAACATAACCTGTCGCGTAAACAGTCCTATTCGGACAAATCCACATGACGCCGTCGTAGTCTTACTTCAGTAACTCTCCAAGAGTTAGATATTTGTGCGATGATTCAGCAAATAATCCAATCAATAGCAAATGAAAACTAAAAAAAACAATGAAGCATAAGGTGGACATTCTATTCAATTCACGTTCACAACAGAGCGGTAGCGGCGACGGTAACTAGCACAGCCTATGGACTCGGGCGGGCGCGCGGTGTGTGTTAGGTATACTCTCTCTCTCTCTCAGCGCGGATCGTGCGGCAGTTTGAAGCCGACCATGGCGGCCGTGTGCCGCTCGCCGCCGCCCTTGTAGGTCTGCAGCAGCAGCTGGTGCCGCCGCCGGCTCGACAGATAGCTGTGGTAGAGGGCGCCCAGGTGGGCCAGCTCGTCCCGCGCGCGGCAGTGCTCCTCGCCAGTCACCTGAAAACGGCGCCAAACTCGGTCAGTGACTCAGCTTTCAACGTTACTGATCACGGCGAACTTTTGCCCACGCTTTTTTAAACTTAACAATTGCAACACCGATATCCAATACTGGACAAATCAATGCAAGTAGCACCGAGAAACCTTCCATCGTCACATCTCGGCCCACAGCTATTGATATGAACGCAGGGCGTGACGTTTTGACGTACCTACGTTATGTGAAGTGAAATATCCCTCAACGCGCTTCGACAGGTCGAGAAAGAAAACAGCCAGACTGCTTCAGATGGCGCTCACAGGCCACGGCTCAGCTATGCTCCAGTGTCACCATTAATTACTTGACGCTGGTGCTGTTTTGGTCGCCGTTTTTATCAGCTGGCTGCCAGCTTCTTGGCATTTATCGGCTTCTCACTGGTCGATTTCACGTGGTCTGTGCGGTTCACTAATGAAAGGCTAATAAACGCCAGCGCGGAACTTCCATACATGGCAAAACCGGCAGCATACTGATGAAAAACGGCACCGAATAGCGCTCCTATTGTAATGTTCCAGTATGACCAATGGTAAGCCATGTGCTCCGGAATGACCACCGGTAACCCATGTGCTCCGGAATGACCACCGGTAAACCGTGTGCTCCGGAATGACCACCGGTAACCCATGTGCTCCGGAATGACCACCGGTAACCCATGAGCTCCGGAATGACCACCGGTAAACCGTATGTTCCAGTATGGTCACCAGTTAACCGAGTGCTCCAGTATGATTTCCGGTTAGCTATGCGTTGCAGCGGTCAAGAACACCTCAAATGATCTAACCGAAGCCCCACATACTGATGAGTGACGATCCTCTTTATAGAGGATATGTTTGATATGTTCATAAATAA